TTTAGCTTCCAAGTCAACCGATTTGTCCTCAATACAGTAGCAGCACCTAAATGTTTGACGAAGGCGGCGAAAGGGGAAGGACCTATTAAACTTTTGGAACAGCGACAGCAACCGTCGCTCGAGGTCCCTGCTGGATGCCACGGCGACGGACTTGGCGGAGATGCAACACCCCGGCTCTTCGATGACATCGCGACAAGTTGCCGCTGCAGGTAGAAGTACTTTGCAAACAACTCAGGGGCATCATGCAGGTACGGGGCAAGATCGCCAACATACGACCGTAGTGGCACACACACACGGATGGAATATCACCTCTGCCACGCAGGACTCCTCTTTGCAGGTAACATTGACCCACGGCATACTCTGGCCATGCCCCACTAGGATAGACTCACCCGCCATGACGACCCAAGAGAGCATACGAGAAAACTCTAGAGCCCTCGGCGCCGCGTGGATGCGAAGACCCGGGTGTGACAAGGGTACTGATGCTTGTTGGCCAGGTGCATCAACTTGTGCGGCGAAACGGAATCAAACAACAACTGATCCATATTCCAATGGACCGAAGAGGCCGACATACCATACCAAAAAAGGAAAAGCAACCTCGTCCCAAAACTATCGAGAAACAAGATGGTCTTCAAAACCGAAGATATCTTAACCGTTCCAAGCGTCAATGTCGTGGCCCCTAAATTTGCAGTAAGCCCTCTACGAAGTCGGACATGTCGTGATCACTCTCTCCTCTTGCACAGACTTGGGCAGCATGGCAATGGGGCAAAGCACGCACTGCTGGAGGGAAATCAAGACCGGCTCGATGCCCACGAACACATCCGTGAGCTGCTCTAGAGCAGGAACGGGCAAAGAGAACATGAACCTAGGAGCCCACTAACCGACGCCGACAGAGGTATTCGGTGAAAGCGGCATGCATACGTGGGCGATATCATGCATCTTGACAGGCTCCAACTTCAGGCAAAACAAGTGGACAATGGCACGAAGTTCACCAAAACCTGCGGCAAGATAACGTCGTATCTGTGGATCTGGTTTCCGCCAGTCGCCCCAGAAGGTCTCCCCGTGGCGCATGATCGAGACGGGATAAACCAGTTCAGACTTTGTTCCACAAAACTCCACATGTATCATCTCTTCGGCTGTAAAGTATGCATGTACCTGTTTCGCGTCACAACGAGAAACCTGATTTAGCCATGTACGCATGCTCTGACGTGACTGTGCAGACACTAGCGACCACGCTCGCGCAGTAATAGCCTGACCACATTCAACCATAACAACTGCAGATTGACGATTGCAGGGAGGATCACTAAATAGAGTTTCCCACGCCTTGGCCTCGTCAGGTTCCCTGAAAAGCCTAGTATGGCTATGCACGAGGGGCACGAGGAGGAGGGGGAGGAGGAAGAGGAGGAGCTGGAGGAGGAGGAGAAGGGCGAAGAGGAAACGTCGGCGCCAGGCTCGAATTCGGAACCGCCACAAGCTCGTGGAGAAGCGTTCGCAAAATAAAGAACGTGAATCCCTGCTCGTTTCCTCCCTAATATCCGCCACCGTGCCTCTGGAGGGGCCCAGAACTCAATTTCTCAAATCTCCCGGGGCTTGTCGCATACCCCCTGAGGTTCCAGGCATCTTCCCGTTGGACTCTTTCAGGCCCGAACGGGCCCCAGGTAGGCCAAGAATCCCTCAAGCGGCCCACAGGGCGGCCCAGCAAGGCCCTGACACATCCAAAGACCGATCCACGACGCCCAAGATTACCCCAAGACGGCTCAAGAGGCCTCCTAAAAGGGCACCTAAAAGGGGCTTGGTTCTTCAAGAAATCGGCCGTCTCACCTTTTCGGTTCGGCGACGCTCCAAGACGGCCCAAGAAGCCACAAACGTCGCCCCAGAACTGCCTCAGATGCCCCCAGGAGGGCCCCAAGACGGCCCGACAGGCGCGCAGAACATCACAAGAAACGCCAAAAACGGCCCAAGAAGAAGGCCCAGAGACGGCTCCAAGAGGGGTCCCCGATGGAGAACCCGAACGGACATTACGAGCCCTCAGCCCCGAGGGGCCACCAGGAGACTCCAAGAGGCCCCCCAAAAAACCCCAAGCGGCCCCCCAGACGCCCAAAGAGGCCCCCAGGAGGCCCGAGAGGCCCCTGAGAGCGCCCCAAAGAGACCTCAAAAAGCAGCCATGAAAACTGACCCACAACCCAAGCTCGGCGGCGAGTCCGGGGGGGAAATGAGAAGGGGCGGGCCTTCTCAGAAGGTTCGGATATGCTCCGGCCTCCTGAAAACTTGTCTGAGCGTTCCCCGAAAACAACAAGAAACATCAGAATGCTGGGGGGGGTCTGCGCAATTCCGCCGTCTTCTGAAAAGGCCTTTTGTTTTTTATGTTCCCCCCCCCTCGCTCGCCGCCGAACGGTGGCGGGATGGGCCGAAGGCCATCAGATAGCCCCGAATGGGAGGCAGCTTGCCTGACGCGACGCTGCGGGCCACGACAGAACAGGGGCCCCGCAAAAGAAAGTGGCGCGCCCCGGACGGGAGGGGGAGGCTCGAGGCGACCTGGGACGAGGACGGGGGGAGGAGGGAGGGAGGACGGAGCAGTGGGGGGAAAGAGGAAGGTGAGGGACGAGGAGGGAGAAACAAACGGACAGAGAAACGAGGAGAGAGGAGGGGAGAGGAGAGCAACGGCGAGGAGGGCGAGGCGAAGGAGGGAGAGACGCGGGGGGAGGAGGGGCGCAAAGAGAGAGGGGAGGGACATGGAAGGACGACGGAGCGAGGGCGGAGGACGGCCCCGCAAAGCACCAGGAAAGCCCACAAGTCCGATGCCGTCCAGGCTCACTGCGCGGTTTCGGGAGCAGGCGGTTCGAGACACGAGTAATAATTAAGCAGGGAATGACCGCCCCGGCATTCCTATAGGCCCACCACGAACTGCTCGCAGAATCCAAGAGTGTTACGATAACAACATAAAACCGATGTGCTAAACCAACACAGTCTGAGCCAGAACTGTTCTAAGAACATGTCGTGCAGACCCCTAAAGTTATTCGAACACTGGTGGGTCTATAGGCGAGCCAAGGCGCTTCGCCACTGCATGACAGACCCCTCCCAGGGTCCAACCGTACTGGTTGTCCGCGCTGCGCCCAACAGTGGCGACGAGGCCCCCCCCACCGAAGGCTAACTACTCCATCGTCTCGAACGGCCCTCCTCTGAGTGGCTGCTCATCGGCTATACGCAAGAGTGGCCCGGGGCAATAAAGACCAATTCGGCGCGCGGCTTGACGGGGGACGCCGGGTGACCAAACACAAGCGCGCAAGTTGCCACTATCGCACCGCGCTCGGCGATCGGGGGACCCCAATGGGCCCGCACCAAAGGTCACTCCGGCGAAGGGTCTGTCTTATGCGTAGTCGAGGTCAGGGTATGAACCTTTCCCCGAGGGCCGGCGTTCTCTTGCACGACGGCACCGGAGCGATGAGCATATGCAGCCCGAGCGTATAGCCACGAGTGCATAGAAAGTCCCCCAAGGGCCCCTCGCATGCATCCGAGGGTCTCCTGACCTAAGATACGACTTCCACGATCATCCCAAACACTCACTCAATGTGGCGGTCGAGCCCTGTTCCGTCCGCTTGCCAAACTCAACCTGCATGGCATCGCGCAAGTCGAGCCTCGGGGGAAATGTGGCCCATATACTGCTTCCAATCGGGACACGCAAACCACTTGAGCATATGCAGTCCGAGGATCTAGCCACGACTGCTAAGACTGTAGAGAGCACCCCGCGCACAGCCCCGCAGCCGCGGGCCGGCGTACCATCCTGAAACGCTGCTCAACGGCCCCCACATGCGCCCAACTTCGCGCCTCGCGCTGCGCGAAGCCTGAGTACCCTCGCGCCCTCACGCCGCCACGCCTGGGGAGAAGAGGAGGACGACGAGGGATCGGAGCCGGACAGCGAAGCGCGCCCTCGCGCCGCCAAAGAGGAGGACGACGAGGGATCGGAGCCGGACCGCGAAGCGAGAACACCCTCGCGTGCTCGCGCCGCCACTCCTGGGGAAAAGAGGGGGCGGCAGAGGAGGAGGAGGACGAGGAGGAGGAATCGCAGCCGAACCGCAGAGCGCGAATACCGTCGCGCCCTCGAGATCGCCCTTGGGTCCCCGGGCCAGGCGGAGAAGTCCGGGGAGGCCCCGCCGAGAGCTGCCCGTGGTGATGCATGTTTCCACGAGGCGAGGGCATCCGGGCGCCCCAGGAGTGAAGAGTCGTCCCCTGGTACTGGTTGGCGGCGCGCACAGAGGGGGTAGGGGGGAGGGAGGGTGGCTTCTTAGAAGGAGGCTGCCTCTTAAAGGCGCTGGCATTACATCTGCAGACACAGAAGGAGAACAAAACGCCATAAACATAAGCTGTTTGCGCTCCGCGCGGATTTCTTGAATCTGCGCTGGGCCCCCTCCCTGGCGCGCGGAACACGCCAGGGGCGGCGCCGGAGACGCCGCCGGGGGGGGCCCAGCGCGGGTCCAAGAAATCCGCGCGGAACGCCCAAAGTGTATGGTTATGGCTATTGTTTTTCTAAGATGGGGCCGAGCCCTTCTGAGAAGCAGCCTTCTAAGGACCCTTCTCCCCTCCCCCCTACCCCCGCCCGCGCGTGGCCGGCCTGGCCTGGGCTTCCCCCTGGGCCTGATCTGGGGCGTGCTCCGACGAAGAGGTTCGGGGCGGATCCAGCCGTGGCGACCAGGAGCCTCCCAGAGACCCGGAAGGCGCGAGCAGCTGCAAACAACAGCCTTTGAGCATCGTTTGACCGATCCCTATCCCCACTGGCGTGGCATGGGCCTCACTGGCCGATTTACACCCGAGATGGGATATCGGCGGTTCCCTTCGGGCTTCGAGGAGCATATCCCCAATTGGGGTGGTGGGATGGTGGGGATCGGGATGAAGATGGGGACGGGGATAGGAATCGGTTAAGCGATACTGAGCCTTGGAACTTCCGAGGCCGAGCGGGGAGGAGCAGGGGGCAAGGGGGCCACGACCACACCTCACCCTCCGGGGTCCTCGACCTGCGTCGGCGACTCGCACACCTGGCAGGGCGCGTATCGAGAGGTGGGGCAGATGAGCAAACGCTGTGCAGATGAGCCCTGCCAGGGGGCAAGGGGAACCAGGAGCAACAGCAGGGAGCAGGAACACAAGAGCTGACTGATCCTCCTCCTCCTCCTCCTACTCTCCCTCCTCCTCCTCCTCCTCCTCCTCCTCCTCCGCCTCCTCCTCCACCTCCTGCTCCTCCTCCTCCTCCTCCTCCTCCTCCTCCTCCCGTTCTCCTCCCGTCCTCCTCCCGTCCTCCACCCGTCCTCCTTCCATCCTCCTCCCATCCTCCTCCCATCCTCGTCCCATCCTCGTCCCATCCTCCTCCCATCCTCCTCCCATCCTCCTCCCATCCCCCTTCTCATCCTCCTCCTCCTCCTCTTCCCCCTCCTCCTCCTCCTCCTCCTCCTCCTCCTCCTGCTCTTCCTCCTCCTCCTCCTCCAACATTCCTTCTCCTTATACAGAATTTCTCCCTGTCGCACCCCGAGGCCAGTTTTTAGGGCGGGCCGGCCGCTTCGCCTGAAAGCATGGCAACAGTTCCATAAATGGAGGGCGGGTGGTTTTCAGAATGTGGCTCCCGCCTTAGCGCCGCGCACATTCGTTTTAACAATTTGCAGGAGCTTCACGGATTCAGGGCTGGTGGTTTTCAAAATGTGGCTCTCGCCTGAGCGCCGCGCACATTCGTTGCAACAAATGCAAGGGTTTGACGGATTGAGGGCGGGTCCGTTTCAAACTGTGGCTCTCGCCTGAGCGCCGCGCACAGTCGCTTAAAACAAATGCAAGGTATTGACGGATTGAGGGCGGGTGGTCTTCAAAATGTGGCTCTCGCCTTAGCACCGCGCGCATGTTCCTAATTTTACGAGAGCTTCACGGATTGAGGGCGGTTCCCTTCCAAAATGTGGCTCTCGCCTTAGCGCCGCGCGCATTCGCTGTAAACACGTTCAAAGAAGTTTCATGGATTGCGGGCAGGTCGTGTTCAAAAGGTGGCTCTCGCCTGAGCGCCGAGCACATTCGTTGCAAAAATGAAAGGGTTTGACGGATTGAGGGCGGGTCGCTTTCAAAATGTGGCTCTCGCCTGAGCGCCGCGCACAGTCGTTGAAAACAAATGCCAGGTATTGACGGATTGAGGGCGGGTTGTATTCAAAATGTGGCTCTCGCCTTAGCGCCGCGCGCATGTTCCTTAATTTACAAGAGCTTCACGGATTGAGGGCGGTTCCCTTCCAAAATGTGGCTCTCACCTTAGCGCCGCGCGCATTCATTTTAAACAATTTCACAGAAAGTTTCATGGATTGCGGGCAGGTCGTGTTCAAAATGTGGCTCTCGCCTTAGCGCCGTGCGCATTCGTTTTAATACATTGTAAGGGTTTCGCGCATCGAGGGCAGTTCCTTTTGAACATGTGGCTCTCGTCTTAGCGCCGCGCACACTCGTTTTAGAAATTTGCACACGGATTCCAAGGAACAACGTATCAGAAATAGTGGGAAGGATTCAGGTTTACGCGGGTGCAACACTTGTGTTGATTCGCGGTGTTGAAATTCAACAAGTGCCGTTCAGGCACGATTCCAAATCGTCCAGACGCAGCAGCTAGGTTCATCTGTGGCGTGGAAATCCCGAGAACGATGGTTTGGCATGATTCAAGGTCTTCACAGGTTTGTTGTCCAACGAGACTGTCCCCTCAATGGAAAGGAACCGTTGTAGGGGCCCGTGAAGAGGGAGCTTGGAGGGAGGGTTCATTCCAACATCGTTGATGACTCTTGGGTTTACACTTGTCCTCCTCCTCCTCCTCCTCCTCCTCCGTTCCTTCTCCTTATACATAACTTCTCCCAGTCGCACCTCGAGGCTAGTTTTTTAGGGCGGGCCAGGCGTTTCGCCTGAGACTTCCTCACCATGTATGACTCTGAAGGATTTGTTATATATAAAAAAGCAACACTTTCACAGATGGAGGGCGGGTCGTTCTCAAAATGCGGCTCTCGCCTGAGCGCCGCGCAGATTCTTGTTTCAAATTTGCAAGAGCTTTAAAGATAGAGGGCGGTTCCTGCTCAAAATGTGGCTCTCGCCTAAGCGCCGCGCACATCTTCTCTAATGTACAAGAGCTGCACGGATTGAGGGCAGTTCCTTTTCAAAATGTAGCTCTCGCCTTAGCGCCGCGCACATTCATTTTAAACATTTGTAAGACGTTCAGGGGCTCCAGCGATCAACGTGCAAGAAATTGTGTTTTGGAAGGATTCAAGATTTTGCGAATCAAACAGTTACGTTGACTCGCGGCGTTGAAATCCCAAGAACGGCGTTTTGGCACGATCCAGGATCTTCAAGACGCAACAGTCAAGTTGATCCGTGGCGTTGAATCCCGAGAACAATGTTTCCGGGTCTGCAAACGGTTGTCTTCCACAAGGCAGATGCCTCAATGGAAATGAAACGTTGTAGGGGCCTATAAAGAGGGAGATGACTCTTGGGTTGACACTGGTCCTCCTCCTCCCCTCCTCTCATCCTCCTCCTCTCATTATCCTCCTCAAATCCTCCTCGTCATCCTCCTCCTCCTCTTCCTCCTCCTCCCCCGTCCGAGCAGAAAGCATAATAACAATCATAATCATATGAATACTAATAACCATAATAATAAACAATAATAATAAGCTAATAAACGAATCACAGATCACCGGCATGCGAGGAGCGGGTTCTGGACGCAAGTGCTTCCCCCAAAACCGGCTGTCTATCCCGAGCCGCTCTTTGACGGCCCCTGGGGGCCCAGAAAGGCCCAGGAAGACCGGAAGTTGGCAGAAACCTCCACGACCCCTTTCTGCCAAGACCCCTGCCCTTCCTGCTGACCTCCTCTTCTTCCTCCTTACAGGAAGCAGTGGCAACGGGGTCCGAGGCGGCCGAAAGGGCGGAGGATAGCAGACGGGCGGGGTTTGTTGTAGCGAATCGGCTCACGTGCCTCTGTCTTGCCGGCGCCACAGGCGGCCATGCATACAGAAGTGCGTGTGGCGGCGGGGCCTAAACCAACTGCATGATGCATACTTCGTGACCCCGTTTTCCTACGTATCAAGTACCGATGCCGCTACTCCCCGGCCTCTCCAAAAACTCGTTCTGACCATGATTTCGAGGCGAATCCAGCCGTGGCTACGAGGGACATGTAGCGTGTGGTAAAGGCCTCGGTAGAGACCGTGGCCTCCTTCGAGACCTCCTCGCTCTCCTCTTGCGAGTGCGCAGCCAGGTCGGGCAACACACCTGCACCAACACCCACACTCGCGCAACTTCGGCGCGACGACGGCACCCACTTCGTTCAGTCAGCGGCGCAGGGGAGCCTCAGGCGCGGTCAGCTGATGAAATTGCGATTGGAGAACGAACTTTGTCGCAACCCCAGTGTAGGAAACGTCCACCACTGCAGTGCAGAAGGGCTGATGAAAAGAAAGCATGAGCTACTGTAGAACTAACGTGCAGCGGCCAGCAAAGCGAGGAACTGGGAAAGCCCGACTCGAACAAGTTGAAGCGCCAACAGACTGGCGTTAACTGGTGCCACTGAATCATCGTAGCGGTGTCAGGCAGTGAAGACACACAACTGCAAAACTGCCAGGCAAGCCGATTGGCGGGGTAGCGTTGAGGGAGCTATAGCCTGGAGAAACTGATGGTTAGGGTGCTAACCTACGAACTGGCGACGCAAGATACAGTAACAGGTATGGGTGGAGTGATAGACCGACGAGGCACGGCGGCACCAGAACAGCGCGCCACGAAAATAAAATGAACGTCGCCGAAAACGGGCGCTGTGACAGCATGAATTGGTGGTGACGGAACGCGCAACACACGTAAAAACACGCACCTGCGACGCCGAACCCAGCCGGATTCGCCATGCCGATGACCACAACCACACCCGCACCCACAACCGAGACGTCCTCCTCCTCCCTCCTCCTCCTCCTCCTCCTCCTCCTCCTCCTCCTCCTCCTCCTCCTCCTCCTCCTCCTCCTCATCCTCCTCATCCGTCGCCTACTCCTCATCTGTCTCCTCATCTGTCTCCTCCTCCTCCTCCTCCTCCGCCTCCTCGTCCTCCTCCTCCTCCGCCTCCTCGTCCTCATCCTCCTCCTCCTCCTCCGCCTCCTCCTCCTCCTCCTCCTCCTCCTCCTCCTCCTCCTCCTCCCCCTCCTCCTCCTCCTCCTCCTCCTGCTCCTCCTGCGGAGCAGCAGCAGCGGGGTGCGCGAACCAGCGTGAAGTGGGCCCGGCCGCCCGCGAAGCCGCCCATCGTCAGGCCCTGCGACCTGGTGGCCCGGCAGATCTCCTGGAAGCGGCCGCCGCCCTGGCCGCCCAGGCGCCGGCAGATGTCCAGGCCGTAGGGCCCCCTGGGACATCGGGAGGAGCATAGGGGAACGAACCATGACATAAGCATAAAAACTCTGAAAGGTCCGCGCGAATTTGTTGGATCGGCGCTGACCCCCCTCCCTGGCGCGCGGAGCGCGCCAGGGGCGGCGCCGGAGGCGCCGCCAAGGGGCTCCAGCGCGGATCCGAGAAATCCGCGCGGACCTCCGAGTTTTTAGTCGGCTTTGGATCGGGAAATCGGATCTGGGATTGCGTCGGATCGGGCCGCATCGGTGCGGTGCAGGAGGCAAGACTACTGGGAGGCCGTCGTCGGAAGGACTAAGGAGGATTCAGCTCCATTGGGGGGCTGCTACGCGGGATTAGGTTGCAAATTGAATGGGGTTCAACAGAGCAAGCGGGAGTAAGCCAGATTGAGCAGGATGAAACCAGATTCGGCGGGATTTCGGACCAGGGCACAGTCAGAACTTGACCTCCCAGGAGTTTCGAGTAGGCGATCGAGTACAGGATTCATGTACCCCAAAAACTGTGTTCCCCGGCGAATCTGCGAACAAACGCGTACCATGTCCCGTACTATCTACGAACATACTACGCGTTACTTGTATATTCGGCGGGAAAAGCAATGTTGGAGTACATGAAATCTGCACAGTCGGGGTGGATTGAAGAGAACACGCGAGAGGACGCAAGACTCTTCCGAGGGCCACATTGCCATATGAATGTAGAAGCACGGGTCGCGAGGCACAGGACGCAAGGGTACCCTTGATTAGTAAGGGTCGCCCTGCTAGTCAACCTCGGCTGTGGTCGATTCCCTATTCGAGAGTTGCATCCGAACGGATCGGACTGGCCGCGACAGGATGCACAACAGACCCACGCGAGCATCGGGCCGCATCCGATCGTCGGAACATCAGAATCGAAGCGGATCGAGCCGGCCGGAATCGAGAGGTCGAGGCGGACAGAGGGGAGCGGAGGAGGGCGGAGGGAATGAGGCATGAAGGATGAGGCTTCAGCTCGCTTCTCGAGGATGCACCGATCCCGAACAATGCAAACTGGGATCAGCCGGGCCTTGCAGGATCCTGCAGGATGCTGCACTCAAACCCGGGTCAGTGCGACCCTGGATCTTCGGCTACACGCAAACGTGTGTAGCCTGAATGAGAGGTGACCTCAGGTGCGAGGCTGTTTGGGGGGCCACGGGGTGTCCACACACAGGCGCGCAAAGACGCTACTATCGCATCACGTTCGGCGATCGGGGAACCCCAATGTGCTACTCCTAAGGTCACTCCCGCGAAGGGTCACTCTGGCGTCTAGTCTTAGGTCGGGCGTGTACCCCGACAGGCGGATTTTTGACGAAAAGTTAAACATAGCCGAAGATTATTCAAAAATCAGTTTAAAAATACTCCAGAAATCGTCCCCACACTATTTCTGGACTATTTTTGGATGTTCCCCCTGTAGAGGGACACGCCCGACTTAAGTCTAGTCGAGATCTGCAGCAGCCTGCAAGATTCGATGCTCTGACTGACACCCGTTTGCGTGGACCCCCATCTCTGGAGCCCCGAGCTTTGCGCGGCAGCGCCCGTTTCCGGGCGACGCAGGCCCCGCTCCCTCCTCCCGACCCCCCCCCGCAGTAGTAACGTCACGATTCGCGCTGGCGCCGCCTGGGAATGGCTGCACGTCAACCCGCATGAAAAACGCACGATAAGGATGCAAGGGCCGCGGAAGGCCATGCCGACACTCTGCGGGCGGGGCGCGGCCAGCGGAAGCGGCCAAGGATGGGCCGTAGGGGAAGGATGCGTAGATTAAGAAAAAACGCCACAAACATTCACTTGGATCTGCGCTGGACCCCCCCCCTAGCGCGCGGAGCGCGCCAGGGGCGGCGCCTCCGGCGCCGCCCGGGGGGGGCCCAGCGCGGATCCAAGAAATCCGCTCAGAGCGCCACAAGTTCATATGTATGCCTTTTGTGTTCTTCGGATGCAAGGGGAACCTTGGAAAGTCGCGCATCCTTACCATGCGGGTTGACTGTAACGTTAGGTCGGGCATGTCTTCCTACAGGCAGATGTTTTGGAAAAAGCACATGTTGAAAAGTCCATGGCCAACAAGAAAAAACGAAGAATGGCCTCCATACGATTTACACACTATTTGTCTACTATTCTTTTGAGCAGGGATCGACCGTTCCGGCATTCCTATAGGCCTACAACAAGATGTTCTTAGAACCCAAAAATATGCTACGAACAAAAACAATGTTCTTGGAACATAAACACGATGTGATAAAACAAGACAGTCCCGGCCAGAAATGTCCTAAGGACAACTCGTGGAGACCGCAACAGGATCTAAGAACATTGTTTGGTAGGCCTATAGGCACGCCAGGACACATCACCACTGCTTAATCATTGGACATAATATGCCCGACTGAACTGTAACGTCGTCGCGGCCCGCGCCGGCGCCGCATGGGGCGTGGCCATAGGAGCGGCCTGGGGCCGCCGCCCCCTTCCCTCGAGAGCGCATTCTTGTTTCTTGCTGCGTGCCCTCGAGGGCCGCCGCTGCTTGAGGTCGGGCGTGTCCCCTAATTACAAGGGGGTTTTGGAAGAAACGCAAAACGTACCCAAAACATATTCATACAACTAGAAAGTACTAACAAAAATTGTCCCCATACTATTTTGTAACCTATTTTTGAACATTTCCTCTGTAAAGGGACACGCCGACTTAACCGTTTCTGGCCCGCGCCGCATGCCCCCCACCCCCCCAGGTAACGCCACGATTCGTGCTGACGACCGCGTGGATTCTGGTTCGCCCCAGGCATTTACAGCCGACCCGTATCATCAGGGTGCGCGGTAAGGGTGCAAGGGCCTTGGAGGGCCATGTTAAGCGTTTTTTCGAACGAAGCTGGCCAGTGAAAGCCGCTGAGGATGGCCCAAAGGGGCAGGGATGCAAGGGTACCCTTGGAAAGCTTGTTCATCAACGTCCGCGTTGTCTCTGGCTCGTCCCAAACATTCAAGACGAAGCCAGGACGAGGAGAAAATCGGGTGAGAATCAATCGAGAACCTCTGAAAAGTCTGGCGGCTCTGGAGAATTTATCGAGCGCCGCGGCCATCTCATAGCGCTCCCGAACGCTGTGAGCATTCCGGAACGCTCTGGAACGGATTTAGCCCTAGTCCTAGCCGCCTCCGAACATTCCCAGACGGCGCCGTTGGGAAGCGTGACGTCACCGGCCCCCCGCCCCCCTCCCCTCATCCCCGGTAACCCGCCATCGCCCGGAAACAACAAAACGTGTTCATTCACCCCCCGTGGTAACGTCACGATTGGCGCTGGCGCCGTCTGGGCATGGCTGGGGGCAGCTGGTTCACAGACGTCCCAGGCGCTGATCGCGACGCACCGCTCTCCTCCCACCCGCTCCCTGGAAACCGCCAGGGGACGAGGGGAAGAAGGATGAGAATCCAGGAGTGCAAGTCTCGGGTCGGACGACGGGGGAGGGTCAGTCAAAGGAGGTTGCCAGATTACCTCGCGCAGCTGGATCTGGCGCCCCCCGACGCCGGAGGCGAGAATGTAATCATCGAGGAGAACGCCTGGTGACAGGGCCCTGCCCCCCTGCCCTCTTGGGCCGGCCCGAGAGTCCAAGCGTAACCCCGCTTGATGGGATAGTTGATCTCAAAGTGGCTGCTCACAGCCAGAACACTGACACCTCTCGAGATGTCCCGCTCGAGTTCAATATCTCCTGGACATCGCCAGGAAGGAGGGCAAACATGGCACCAAATCCGCCGACCTTGTCGGCGTTGTGGGGGGTGCTTGTGTGTTCGAGCCGTCGTCTCCGTTAGTCGTCGTCTCCGTCGTTCCCTTTCCCTGCATCCTCTTCCTCAAGCCTGTCAGCGAGCGAAGAATCTATCAATATCGCAATCCAGTCGAAGTGAAGCCCCTTCCCTTTGATCTCCCGTCGGGGGGGAGGTCCGGGGGGGTAGGGGGAATGTAAGGAGGGGGGGTCAGGTACGCATTCCCCCCTCGGCATTTCCACATTGGGCGGAATGACGACGACGACGACGACGACGACGACGACGACGACGACGACGGCGACGGGGGGGTGAGAGGGGGGATCTGGCTCCAGACCTCTGCTTGATGCGACTGTTTGCAGCAGTGGGGGAGACCTCGCCTGCGTGAAACAGGCGCCCAAAAACAGCCAGGAGGGGGTGGGAGAGGGGGGGGGCTGCGGAGGCTCGCGCCGATCGGCAAAACAATGAGCAAGAGAACGATCACTACTTAGTTTGTTCTCGCCTACTCCCATTCATTTCGATTTCTCGCGTGCTTCTTTGCCAGGTGATCCTCAGGATGTTCCTCGATGGTCTCCGCCGAGAAAAATCCACATGTCCGAGCGGTGCCAAGGAAGAGAGGAGGAGGAGGAAAAGGAGGAGGAGGAGGACGAGGAGGAAGAAGAGGAGGAGCCCCCCTCCCGCAAAAAGAGAGCCCAGGCCCCGCCTGGTGCCCCGGAGCGCCCGCTCCGACTCCGACCAGGCCGCCTCGGCAGGGGGGGGGCGAGGGACGAGGGAGGGGGAGCAGGAGCAGGGGAGGGAGGAGGGGGGAGGGGGGGGGGGGGCGGCGGCGGGGGGGGCGGCGGCGGGGGGGCGGCGGCGGCGGGGGAGGGGGGACGCGGGGTGCATGAGAACGGAGCGGGGGGGAGGGGAGAGGGAGTGCGAGGGGGACTGGCGCGCCGAGCTCCGCCCGCCGGCACGGCTGCGCGCGGGCCTGCCTCGACCTGTCAGGGGTTACCGAAGGGGCCCAGGGACACACAAATAGATACACACGAATCCCAGGATTCCCCCCCACACACACATATATATATATATATATATATATATATATTTATATGCGTATATATATATATATATATACATATACATATGTATATACATATAGATATATACATATCTAACTATAAACGTGTATATGTATACATATATATACACAGTTTATCCTCATTACTTGAGTTTCGTCCTCCCCCACACGCTTCCCATAGCTCCCCATCTTCCCCTGGGAATCGACGATTCTCTGCGCCTGTGCGTGTGTTGTGTGTTGTTCCACTCCTGAGCTGCAGCGCGCGGGGTAGATGGCTCGTCCTCCTCCTGCTGCTCCTGCTCCTGCTCTTCGGCACCCTCCTGCAGCCCCATGTTCCCTCGGGCGAGGTCCACGGACCATCTCCCCGAGCCTGCCCAGCCTCCTCCTCCTCCTCCCCTCCCTCCTCCTCTTCGTCCTCCTCCTTTCCTCTTCTTCCTCCTTCTTCTCCACCTCCTCCTCCTCCTCGTCCTTCTCCTCCTCTTCCTCCTCGGCGCCACGACTATATATATATATATATATATATATGTATACATATATACACATATACACATATACACAACCGCCCTGCGACGAACTTTGCATGTGTACCTTTAGGGAGGGCGGCGGCATGAAAACAAGCTGGCTCACGGGGGTGGTTTCTACACCGCTTCCCTCTTCTGAGGCCCAGGAAAAATCCATTGGAGGGTGTGTGTAGATTCTTTTGTCGCGGATCCTCCCTCTGGTGGTTGAAACTTGTGCTGGCCGTGGAACTTAGTGCAGTTCCTTTTCTTGGCCGCGCTCGCCCTCAACACGTCCGCGATGCTCCCCCGAGAAAGAGCAGTTGGGTCGGGCTCTGCGTGGTCCTCCTCTAGAGTTAGATGGCATTCGTGGGGACCAGGAACTCAGTGCTTGAAGGCCCTTTCATGTCGCATTCATGTATCATGGATGTCTCATGGATGTTCGCCGCCTGCCGCCTGCATCTTGTCTTTGCACCACGCAAAATAACTTTCCCCTAGTAGAAAGAGGACAACGGCATAAACGTAAACTTTCGGAGGCCCGCAGGGGGTTTTTGGGTCGGCGCTGGACCCTCTCTTGGCGGCGCGCACAAAGGGGGCTTCTTAGAAGGAGGCTGCTTCTTAGAACGCGCTGGCCTTACATCTGTAGAGAAGGCCCGCGCCTTCTCAGAAGCAGTGGTGCTTCTAAGAAGCCCTCCCCCCTCCCTACCACCCCTCCCCTCCGCGCGTGGCTGACTCTCCCTGACGCGCGGAGCGCGCCAGAGGCGGCGCCAGGGGTGGCACCAGGGCAGCCCAGCGCCGATCCGAGAAACTGTCGCGGACTGCCCAAACTTCATGCCTGTGCAGCTTCTCTCCTTTACAGGTCAAAAAATCCAACCCCATAATAACCACCCCGACACGCGAAGTCGTTCAGTAAACGCGCCCAGGGAAGGAATCAGACAGCCCTCCCCCTTCCCCCCCCCTCCTCCTCTGCGCGTGGCCGAAGAGCAGTGCAGAGCAGCGCGGCGCCAGCGGCGCCAGCGGCGGCGCTGGACGGCCGCGACGGGCGGCGACGGGCGGCCTCGAGCTGGCCGGGCAGGCACCAGTGCCCTTCCAGAAGCTCCAGGGAGCTCCTCCTCCCTCCTCCCTCCTCCAGCTCCTCCTCCTACTCCTCCAGTTCCTCCTCCTCCTCCTCCTCCTCCTCGTCCTCCTCCCTCCTCGTCCTCCAAAGGCCTCTGGAAGGCATTCCAAGAACTCCAGGGAACAACTCCAGAGAGCCCCTGACTTCCAGAGCTCTTTCCAAAGGCCTTTGGAAGGCCATGCTGGCGCTCCGCTATCCGGGATTTTGACTCCACAACTACAACAATGTTGGTGCAAGCACTGCGTGGGAAACGAGCATGAGCTAAACCACGCGAGCGCTTCGCGCACGCTCAGGTTCCAGCCATTCCGATCCCTTGATAAACTCAAAGCTCCGCCGCAGTAGTTCTTCGCGGGAGGTTCCAGCATGAGGCGAAAAAGTATCAGCGTTGTGGCTCGATCAGGGACGAGTTACCGACAAGAATGCGTCCATGCAATTGAATGCGACGAAATGCCAAGCAGACTGCAACGCATGCGAAGGAAGCGCAATGCAATACAAAGCAATGCCATGGACATCAGATGCGAGGGGAAAGCAACGCAAATCATTGCAAGCCTAAGTGAGCCAAGCATATGCAAGGCAAATGAGAGCGTTGTCCAACAGTCGAACGCGAATTGAGAAGCAGGGCAAGTGCACATGCAACGCAAAGCAGCTGAGCGCAATACAGCTAACAATAATGCAAGTGACCGAACGAACCCGAGGGGCACGATATCCCAGGGGCGAGGCCTTCTAAGAGCAGCCCAGGCAGCGCTTCGGGGGGGTGGGGCAAGACAGGCCCAAAGGCCAAAGGGCGTCCAAACATACACCAAGAGAGCTCTGCCAACGGGTTGAAAGGGGGCCAGAAGGGAGAGCCTAAGAGAGCTCCAAGGATGCTGCCAAACGAAAGTTCCGAGGGTGTCTGGGACGCGTTTCGTTCTTTGTTGGAAGGCATCTGGGACGTATGCTGGCGGGCCTCTTGGGGGGGCTCTTGAAATCTCTGGCAGGCCCTTGGGAAGAGTCCCGGAGGCCTCCAGGAGAACATTGGAGGCACGCTGGGCGCTGCACCCGCCAAGATTTGAGGCCTCCCAGATGGGGTCGGAGAAGATGGGGTCGGAGGATCGCGCCGCATCGCCAATGCATCGCCGATGCATGGTCGATGCATCGGCGACATAAGCGATGCATCGGCGCCGACGGCGTGGAGAAAGTCAAGCTCCGCATCGAGCGTTTCGACACTTGGCGGAAAGGGGGGAGGGGGGGGGGGTCGGGCTCTGGACCCCTGCTTGAAACGGCAGTGCTTCTCATGGGGGAGACTCCACCTGCCTGAAACAGGCGCCCAAAACAGCCAAGATCTACTCTATGCAATGAGTATCGTTTAACAGATCCCCATCCCCACCAGCGTGGGCTGGGGCCGATTTACCCCCCTAGATGGGGATATATATATATATATATATATATATATATGCCGTATCCTTCGGGTTTCGAGATGTGTATCCCCAACTGGGGGTGTAAAATTTGGTGGGGGTCTCGAAGGGGATGAGCATGGGGATGGGGATCGGTTAAACGATACTGATGCAAGGGGGAGGAAAGGGGTGCGAGGGCCCGCACCGATCAGCAAGACAACCTCGGACCTCAATTCCGAGAGCGCCCCCCGAAGTTCTCGGGGACGTGCTGACCCGGGTCAGTGCGGACCCGGGTCAATCAGGCCCTGCGAGATCCTGCAGGCTCCTGCACCCAGACCCGGGTCAGTGCGCCCTGGACAAAAATTGGCACGATGCCCAATAGCAAGCGCTGTCCGAAAACCGACAGCGGCCGCTGTTGGGCAGGCGGCCCTGTCTCAAAGACGCGCACCGCTCGCAATGACGCCGACAGCGATTCCTGCTGTTCAAATACGGACAAAGACTTGCTGTGAGTCTTCGTACGCATTGTTTCCGTACCCACTCCGATCCTCCAGATCGTGAGCCCCGACGTACAAGCAACCCGTATGATAAGGATGCGCGATAAGGATGCAAGGGCCTTGGAAGGCCATATCGACACTCTGCGAGCAGGGCGCGGCAAGCGGAAGCGGATAAGGATGGGCCGAAGGGGGAAGGTGCAAGGGTACCCTTGGGAAGGCTTCCCATCCTTACTGTGCGGGCTGACTGCACTTCGTCTTCGCACGCACTCTTTCCGTACCCGTTTCGATCCTCCAGGTCTCAGGCCCCGACGTTGTCCCTAACCTTAAGTCGGGCCTACTCCTCTACAGGAAGGACAATTCAAAACTGGGCCAGAAAATAGTCTGGGGACGATGTTTGGATTAGTTGTTTGCTCTTTGGATGCATCTTCTTGAGTATGTTATATTCTTCGCTCAAAATCCGCCTGTAGGGGGGGCACGCCCGACCTAAGGGAAAGGTTAGGGCAGGCGTGCCCCCCATACAGGCGGACTTGTATGATATAAGAAAAATGGATACAAAAACAAACAGCAAAAAAATGATGCCCATATCCCATATCGTCCCCCGGAGTCCCCGGACTATCCTTCTACTATTTTTGAATATTCCCTCCTGTAGAGGGACAGGCCCGACTCAACCCCAACCCGAACCTCTGGCCCCGCGCGCCTGCTTGGGCCCCTCGCCGGCGGCCTGCGCCCGCAGGGCGCCGAGGGCCTGCCGCGCCCCCGCGTGCGTGCGGAAGCGCGCGTAGGCGCTGCCAGTGGCCTCTCGGGGGGCGCCCCGGCGGCTCCTGCTCCTGCTCCTGCGGGACGACGACCGAAGAGTCGAACCTACTTTTGCATGGACCCCCGTCTCTTGAGCTCCGTCTCTTTGCATTGACCCCCGTCACTTGAGCCCTGGAAAAACCCTATGCAGGGAGACACGCCCGACTTCACGTCCCGAGAACCAACAAACAAAAAGACAGGAGAACAACAACAAAACAAAACAAACAAAACAACTCACCACCGCGCTGGCCTTGGCCGCGAGGTCCTTCAGCAGCAGGACGTCGTCGACCTCGCCGAAGCTCGCGAGCCACTGGCGCGCCCCGTCCTCGCTCAGGGCCTCAGCGTGCCGGGCGGCGGCCGCCCGGGTGCAGGAGGGGGGGCGGCGGCGCGGGCTCTCGCCGCGGAGCAGCGAGGACGACGGCCACTGCACGCCGACACGGCTCTGGACCGGGCCAGTCCTGGGCAGGAGGAGGAGGAGGAGGAGGAGGAGGAGGAGAAGGAGGAGGAGGAGGAGGAGGAGGAGGAGGGGGGGGGGACAAGCTAGGTGCGC